ATTTGGATTTTGAATTTGGGGTGAAACTTGATTTGCTATATGAACTTTAGTTGCTTGTGCCATAGGAACTTCAGTTGTTTGTGCTGTAAGAACTTCAATTGCATGTGCCGTAGGAACTTGGGTTGCTTGTGCTTCAGGAATTCTGGTCGCTTGTACTTTAGAAATTTGGGTTACTTGTGCTTCAGGAATTTGAGTCGCTTGGGCTTCAGGAATTTGGGTCGTTTGTGCTTCAATTTCATAATCTAAAAAAAATTAAAAATGTATAAATAAAATTTAATCACAGTATATTTTAAAATTGTAATAATTTAATAAAAAATATTGAATTTGAAGTATTTTAAAAATTATCATTATGTACGAATTACCTTGTTCTACATTATTAGCATTTTCTTCAAACATGCCTTCAGAAAAATCATACTCATCTAAATCTAATTCATTCGAAGTAAAAAGAATTAACTGTGCTGTATTTAAAATACATTGATCATCACTAAGTTTACAATAATCAGCTAGGCTTTCATGTGATCGATACCTGGAAAATGACTGTAAATCAGAATCTGAAAGCCCATTATTTTTTAGTAATTGAATTGCAGTATGACGGCATGAATGGTTTGTGATTTTTCGTCCATTACTGAGATCAATACCCGTATGTGTAACAATATTGTTCATCATTTTTCTCAATTTTCTATAACCTATAGAAGTACTTTTGTACCAGCGTCCTTTTAGAAGATCTTTAATAAAAATAGTTAAATTAATTACCCAAATTAAATTTTTTTATATCAGTTTTACATAATATACATGCCTTTTTTAGATCTATAAGTTTTATGAAAAAAAGAATCTACCAATACCGAATCAGGCACTTTTACAAATAGTGAAGAATATCGGTTACTGGGGTATATTTGTTATTAGCTGAATCTGGTGGTATGGAAATACGTCGTGAATTTGTTTTTCCATGTTTATGTTGATAAAAAACACCTCCTTGATTATTTTTTTCTTTATGTAATACAAACTCCAATCCTCTATTATGGCGACGTTCAAGATTCTTTTTACAAATTCTATATGCATCACTACCTCGTAGTCTGCACAATAAACACAACCAAAAGAAGACCCTACGCAAAAGTGATTCACTTGTATTAATATCCATATATGAATGGTCAAGTATCTGTTTAATTTCTACTAATGATAAACCATCAGATTGTTTTGTATCTCCTAATCCCTTATTTTGCAAAATATGCATTTTTCTATTTAAGGTTTGAAGAGCACGGGGAAATTGATATTGATCAAAGATTTTTATTGGTTAAAGAACACTATGATCTCTAAGATATCTATTGATTGCACTATAACAATTGTATACGGATTCGACTTTATAATCGGAACCATCATCTTTTTTCAACCATGTTATAAATTGGCAAAGATAAGTTTCAAGTTCTTCAACAGAATCAATTAATTCAATAGATTTGGATATTCCACAACTTTTATTAAACCAATCTAAAGCACGAAGCCAAAGGGAGATATTTCGTTTAGTGTTTGAAACAAGTGATACTTTCTGTAACTGGTTAATTTCTTCTTGTGTAGGAAGTTGTGAACTTGTATGGAACTCATATTAGCAAAGGTATTTATAAAAAGAATAAAAAAAGTGTGAGTAGAAGTAAAAACGAATATTAAGTAAAAGTAAAAAAAGTAAACAATGAGTAAAAGTGAGTTAAATAATTAGTAAGTAATTAATATATATGAAAAATGACAGTGCTTACGTTAGACATTACGGATAAAAATGTTATCAGTTAAGTTGCGGCCGATAAATCTAATTATCGTCAGGATTTATAACACAGAGCATGTGCTACTTCACGGCACGTGCTCCGCATTATATCCTGACAATAATTAGTTATCATCTACAACCTAACCAATAACAAGTACTTATCATCTTTAATCATATTGATACTTATTTGTGTTCAGGATCATAAATATACTGTATTAGCTAGAGTAGTATGCTTTAATTCTAAAATAATAGGAGTAAGTAAATAAGGCTTTAATATATGAATAATAATTCTTAAATGCTTCCAGAATTCATTATTTTTAAGTATTGATATAACAGATCTGTCAATTCATAACTTTATTTTATATGTGATATCTTTCAAATACTGTTCTTTACTTTGTAATTGTTATAATGAAGTAAAAATAAATTCTATCATATAAAAGTTAGAAGAGTAAATCTAAATGTATTATTACCAGAACAAGCACAAATGTATTTTATAATTACAAAATATACAACAAGCTTAAGGTTTTTTATCCTTATCAATTTTAATTGGATTAAAAACTTGCCAAAGTGGACCTGGAGGTAACCAGCAAATCTATTTGGAAGCTTATACAACAAATGCTGTATTTCTGGATTTGGAGAAAGCCAATTTGGCATAGAAAAATTTCAATTTTTATTATTAATTATCATTAGGATAATTTTTAAATTTGAGGTAACTATTATAAAAAAAATAATCACTACATATTTGATTAATAATCATCACATATTACATATTTACATAATAAGTAATAATCACACTATAATCTTCACAATACGTAATAATTACTACTAATAAGTAAGAGACAAAAAATAAGTAAAATATTACTTATTTATTACCTTGCCCATCACTAATTAGAAGTGTTATCCTGCT